ATTTTGTGTCGACTATCGCAATTTAAGCCGTGGTTGGTAACAGGTTTTGCCAGTATGTAAGAAAGAGCCTGCATTTTCATTAAGTCTTTTAACAATTATTCAGTGACATATTGGAAGATTCTATGACTATTCGTTATTATTGCGCTGCTGACTTTCCATAGTTTTCCAACCCGTGGACGGAAAAAAGTGTTCAACCACGGGATGACAAAGAAAGGTCTATATGAGTGAAATAACTCATTCTTTGATTTAACTACATTCTTTTAGGTTTCATAGATTTCGTTGTCACATAACTACCGGTATTGATGATGTCGTCAGTTAAAAGTGCAGCATGATTTATTGACGTATGTACGACAAAGTGGAAGAAACAATTACACAAATGATTATTTGTATTAAATGCGCCTAACTTCCGGCTTGTTGACGTCACAACATTAGAATGCCTATCGTCAACAATGTAGCTGTTATCATTATTTGTGTAGCAGTCATTGCATTTAAAGTAAATCCTTTAACAGCCCACCCCTGAATTCCATCATCAACGCTGTGCCCAAAGTGCACACGTAGAGTCTTCATTGTGTGTACATGTACGCACGCTGCACATACCAAGAGCAACAACCGACTCGGGCCTAGTCTACATTCAGCGCCCGCGTGAAACAAGCGGAACACACATGAGCGGCGCTAGGCTGATTTGATGGGGGGGGGGGGGGGGGGGGGGGAGGGGGGGGTGACAACAAATTTGCCAACATATCGTCTCTTCAAAAACTCAACAGTATATTTGCCCGATTTGTTCATGATGTATGAATGAAAGAAAATTGTAGTTACTATTCAAGTGAAAAACTGTTTATCATTGAAAAACATTTGACAATTTGCCTTGTTATTCAAATATAGTGTTTTATCTATTTCGACTAAATATTCGATAACATTTCAGTTTAATAAAAAATGTTTTGCTTGAGCTATTGTCCCTACAACGAGTATGTTGTTCTTGTTCCATAAAACTTGACATTTTTTTAAAATTACATTTTCGAGCTTAACATACTCCGTTATTTTGGTTATGTTATTTAAACAAATATTTTCCGATTTCTCTTGATAATGCTAAAGTTCCAAAATGTATTATTGAATTGCCTTCCACTGCAGAAGGAATCATCGTAGATTGCCCCGGACACCCCTTGCAGGGCTTGCCTTCGCCACGCCCGAGACTCAACTCCCACTATATCACCTCAACTCCACTATATCACACCCCCTCCCCCTTCCTGAAGCTAGATCCGCCTTGAATGAACCTCGGTAACCCAGTGCTGCTTTCAAATCATCACATGCAGCAATAAACGATGAGTCGTTTATTCATCATCGACAGCTTTCAACTAAATTAATTGGATGTTTCATTTGTTGGACAGGAAGCAGGCACCAAAATATGACAGGCTTTGAGTTATGTTAGTTCACCATCATCAATTAAAATAAAACCATGTTTTGGTAGATCACTCATGCTGATAATGTTTTCAATGTCATTAATGCATGACATTGATGAGACGCTTTCAACTGATAGACCCTATATGGTTTCTATAATGAGTAAACAGTACCAGTTCCTGGCGTTGCATGCATTATTAAGGCGACAATCCCATCAGTCAGCCGTAAAGCAATATACTTCAAATTCAGCACCGTTCTAATCATGTATAGAGTAAACCACTTCCCATCTGACTCTTATTGGACGTCCGTTCTCCGCAAAGAAAAGCAATCATTGGATAATGAAGTAGTAATAATGGAGCAAACATTTCCCATCGGTCTCTCTTCAGAAAAATAAACACTAGGGAAAACCTTAATAAATGCTGACAAGAATTTCTGGAGCCATTGTTGGATTTGCAGCCACGCATCAGATGCTGAGAGCATCCGCGTATATCATGAACGCACGTGCGGTCGACGTTATCTTGTGAACAAAGCCTTAATTTTGACACAGTCTCATCCAGTGATGCTGTGTTGATACTTATTAAACTGAGAAATCAACAGAGCAGACTTAAACTTCGGAGAGACACAAGTGTCGGTTTGATTGCAGTGCTGGTTTAAACATAACATCCGACAGTTCATGATTTTAAATTTATATCAACTACGATTGAGGTAGCTACCGTCATCTCTCCATTACATCAGGTGACTCGTATTGGAGGCGACTTCTGAACAACTGAATTGTCGTGTCTCTGGACCATCAAAACGACAGAAAGAATCGTCTAGAACAATTTAAAACGGGACACATTAATTCAGGCATAGATTGATTGTGAGTAAAAAGCACAGACCCATTGCCAAATGTGTGCAGACTTCTAGAAAACTGCACGCCCGAGACGTTTGCCGCTTATAAACCTTAAGACATTGGCACAGTTAGAAACATCTATTATAAACACTTAATTAAAGTCAGCACTTGGCAGAACAGGGTTGTGTTTAAACACGATGGAATCCAACCTGTCATCAGAAGAATACTCCAGTGATATTTCCTTAATTTTTGCGATTAAATACAACTCATCAGATGGCAACTGCGTTGATTATATCTACGTAGATGAGGACTCGGCATTAGTGTACACGCCAACAGAAATTGTGGTTTACACCGTCCTCTTACCGATCATTTTGTGCCTCGGTGTCATCACCAACTCCAGTTTTCTGTTTGTTGTGATTCGTGCTCCGCAGAGGATATCTCACACCACTCTGTACTTGGCACACCTTGCAGTAGCAGACCTCCTTGTGCTCATTTTTAGGGCATCTCAGAAAATGTGGACAGCGTTTTCATCACCTGAGATTGTTCAACATCCATTTCAGAATACGGCTCAGTGTCTCATTTTTCGTATTGGTGTGAACTTACCATTCATATCATCCCTTGCACTGGTCACTATGTCGTCATACGAGAGATTTCTGTCCCTGTGCCATCCATTCAAACTACACAGCATCCGGAGTCGGCGACGAACCTACAAAGTAATCGCTCTTTGCTGGCTGGTTGGGTTGCTAGCTGTTACTGAAATCATCTTTGGGTGGGAAATTACAAATTCTGATTGTGTTACATGGCCTGACAACGACAAGTACCAAGGATTTCCATCAAAGCTCTCATACTGTCAGGTACCACAAGCAAATAGAAAGATATACTACATTTATAGTGTAGTTATCAACATGCTTATACTTTTGAATGTTCTCATTAACACTTACATGTTTATCCGCATTGTTAGGGAGTTGAACAAACGAAGACGTGCTGCTCCGAGACTCTACACTGGCCAAGATGCTTTGCAAATTGGAAACCGAGTGACGAAGATGGTGGTTGTTAATGGAGTCGTATTTTTTGTGCTCCAGGTACCCTATCAAGTTTTGAGGACATATAGAATGATCGGTTACTTAATCGGTGTTCCTGTGTCGGTCAGCTCCGAATTGCGAGTTATTGCATGGTTTCTGTTGATGATCAATTCAGCAGTCAATCCGGTAATCTACAACGCAATGAACCGGCAATACCGAGCAGCTTTGCTGGCAGTCTGCAGACGCAAAGGTCGTGGACAACACCCCGCCAACCCTCTTCCTGCAATCAGCAGAGCAGCGGACAGAAATGCTCCGGCCACTAACCCCATGCCAATTTACATGGAGACCTGCGTGTGAGACTTACAAACAAAAGATGCAACGATTCAAGGACATGAGGGCAACAACTGATGGAGATTCGTAGCGCAAAAACAAATCAGCTTATTTCGGTGCGAAGCCAAAGTCGGCCGAGTACCAGCTAGTCACAACCAAATGACACTGTGTTTGCCTGGTAAACCATTACTTCCGCCCGCTCGAAGAAATTTCGATTTCGCAAGCAAGAAATTGACCTTTATTTTGATTTGTAAACATTGAGCGCCATTTTGTGTCGACTATCGCAATTTAAGCCGTGGTTGGTAACAGGTTTTGCCGGTATGTAAGAAAGAGCCTGCATTTTCATTAAGTCTTTTAACAATTATTCAGTGACATATTGGAAGATTCGGAAAAAAAGTGTTCAACCACGGGATGACAAAGAAAGGTCTATATGAGTGAAATAACTCATTATTTGATTAAACTACATACTTTTAGGTTTCATATATTTCGTTGGCACATAACTACCGGTATTGATGATGTTGTCAGTTAAAAGTGCAGCATGATTTATTGACTTATGCACGACACAAGTGGAAGAAACAATTACACAAATGATTATGTGTATTGATTGCGCCTTACTTCCGGCTTGTTGACGCCACAACATTAGAATGCCTATGGTCATCAATGTAGCTGTTATCATTATTTGTGTAGCAGTCATTGCATTTAAAGTAAATCCTTTAACAGCCCACCCCTGAATTGCATCATCAACGCTGTGCCCAAAATGCACACGTAGAGTCTGCATTGTGTGTACATGTACATGTACGCACACTGCACATACCAAGAACAACAACCGACTCGGGCCAAGTCTACATTCAGCGCCCGCGTGAAACAAGCGGAACACACATGAGCGGCGCGACGCTGATTTGATGGGAGTGGGGGTGGGGGTAGGGGGTGACAACAAATTTGCCAACATATCGTCTCTTCAAAAACTCAACAGTATATTTGCCCGATTTGTTCATGATGTATGAATGAAAGAAAATTGTAGTTACTATTCAAGTGAAAAACTCCACTATATCACACCCCTCCCCCTTCCTGAAGCTAGATCCGCCTTGAATGAACCTCGGTAACCCAGTGCTGCTTTCAAATCATCACATGCAGCAATAAACGATGAGTCGTTTATTCATCATCGACAGCTTTCAACTAAATGAATTGGATGTTTCATTTGTTGGACAGGAAGCAGGCACCAAAATATGACAGGCTTTGAGTTATGTTAGTTCACCATCATCAATTAAAATAAAACCATGTTTTGGTAGATCACTCATGCTGATAATGTTTTCAATGTCATTAATGCATGACATTGATGAGACGCTTTCAACTGATATACCCTATATGGTTTCTATAATGAGTAAACAGTACCAGTTCCTGGCGTTGCATGCATTATTAAGGCGACAATCCCATCAGTCAGCCGTAAAGCAATATACTTCAAATTCAACACCATTCTAATCATGTATAGAGTAAACCACTTCCCATCTGACTCTAATTGGACGTCCGTTCTCCGCAAAGAAAAGCAATCATTGGATAATGAAGTAGTAATAATGGAGCAAACATTTCCCATCGGTCTCTCTTCAGAAAAATAAACACTAGGGAAAACCTTAATAAATGCTGACAAGAATTTCTGGAGCCATTGTTGGATTTGCAGCCACGCATCAGATGCTGAGAGCATCCGCGTATATCATGAACGCACGTGCGGTCGACGTTATCTTGTGAACAAAGCCTTAATTTTGACACAGTCTCATCCAGTGATGCTGTGTTGATACTTATTAAACTGAGAAATCAACAGAGCAGACTTAAACTTCGGAGAGACACAAGTGTCGGTTTGATTGCAGTGCTGGTTTAAACATAACATCCGACAGTTCATGATTTTAAATTTATATCAACTACGATTGAGGTAGCTACCGTCATCTCTCCATTACATCAGGTGACTCGTATTGGAGGCGACTTCTGAACAACTGAATTGTCGTGTCTCTGGACCATCAAAACGACAGAAAGAATCGTCTAGAACAAATTAAAACGGGACACATTAATTCAGGCATAGATTGATTGTGAGTAAAAAGCACAGACCCATTGCCAAATGTGTGCAGACTTCTAGAAAACTGCACGCCCGAGACGTTTGCCGCTTATAAACCTTAAGACATTGGCACAGTTAGAAACATCTATTATAAACACTTAATTAAAGTCAGCACTTGGCAGAACAGGGTTGTTTTTAAACACGATGGAATCCAACCTGTCATCAGAAGAATACTCCAGTGATATTTCCTTAGTTTTTGCGATTAAATACAACTCATCAGATGGCAACTGCGTTGATTATATCTACTTCGATGAGGACTCGGGATTAGGGTACACGGCAACAGAAATTGTGGTTTACACCGTCCTCTTCCCGATCATTTTGTGCCTCGGTGTCATCACCAACTCCAGTTTTCTGTTTGTTGTGATTCGTGCTCCGCAGAGGATATCTCACACCACTCTGTACTTGGCACACCTTGCAGTAGCAGACCTCCTTGCACTCATTTTTTCGGTATCTCAGCAAATGTGGACAGCGTTTTCATCACCTGAGATTGTTCAACATCCATTTCAGAATACGTATCAGTGTCTCATTTTTAATATTGGTGTGAACTTACCATTCATATCATCCCTTGCACTGGTCACTATGTCGTCATACGAGAGATTTCTGTCCCTGTGCCATCCATTCAAACTACACAGCATCCGGAGTCGGCGACGAACCTACAAAGTGATCGCTCTTTGCTGGCTGGTTGGGTTGCTAGCTGTTACTGAAATCATCTTTGGGCGGGAAATTATAAATTTTGATTGTGTTAAATGGCCTGACAACGACAAGTACCAAGGATTTCCATCAAAGCTCTCATACTGTCAGGTACCACAAGCAAATAGAAAGATATACTACATTTATAGTGTAGTTATCAACATGCTTATACTTTTGAATGTTCTCATTAACACTTACATGTTTATCCGCATCGTTTGGGAATTAAACAAACGAAGACGTGCTGCTCCGAGACTCTACACTGGCCAAGATGCTGTGCAAATTGGAAACCGAGTGACGAAGATGGTGGTTGTAAATGGAGTCGTATTTTTTGTGCTCCAGGTACCTTATCAAGTTTTGAGGACATATAGAATGATCGGTTACTTGATCGGTGCTCCAGTGTCGGTCAGCTCCGAATTGCGAGTTATTGCATCACTTCTGTTGTTGATCAATTCAGCAGTCAATCCGGTAATCTACAACGCAATGAACCCCCAATACCGAGCAGCTTTGCTGGCAGTCTGCAGACGCAAAGGTCGTGGACAACACCCCGTCAACCCTCCTCCTGCAATCAGCAGAGCAGCGGACAGAAATGCTCCGGCCACTAACCGCATGCCAATTTACATGGAGACCTGCGTGTGAGACTTACAAACAAAAGATGCAACGATTCAAGGACATGAGGACAACAACTGAAGGAGATTCGTAGCACCAAAACAAATCAGCTTATTTCGGTGCGAAGCCAAACTCGGCCGAGTACCAGCCAGCCACAACCAAATAACACTGTGTTTGCCTGGTAAACCATTACTTGCGACCGCTCGAAGAAATTTCGATTTCGCAAGCAAGGAATTGACCTTTATTTGGTTTGTAAACATTGAGGGCCATTTTGCGTCGACAATCACAATTTCAGCCGAGGTTGGATACACATTTTTGCCAATAATTGCACACATTGTGGGCCCCAGGCCTAACGCTCCATCTATTGTGCAAGAAAGAGGCATTTTTATTAAGTCTTTTTTCAATTCAAGGACCTGTTTGATACATTTTTATGACTATTCATTACTTATGCTATGCTGACCTTCTATAGTTGTGTAACCAACCGTCCTACAGGTGTAGTCGATGGATTACTCTGGTATTTCTTTTGCATACAGTGTTCATGCGTTACTCTTTGTGTATAACATTCCGATGTTGACAATTTACTTGAAGCAGAGCTCTCGGTTAGAACGTGCCTTGTGACATAATCACATAGTTCGATGTAAAGTAATTCTCAGTGGTTGTGAGCCCATTGAGGGCGTGCCCCGTCCATATAAGGATTCACACGTGGTTGTTGGCTCATTCCTGCACCAACCACCATGGCTTGACGGCACTTCGTCAAGTTTTGCAGCCACAAAATAACCATATCGATCACTTTTTGGTGCGTACAAAAGCAGGTGTTACTAAAATGAAACATGTTTAAGATAAAGCTAATGGAGAAGAAGTTAGAGAAAAGATCGCAATTTAAAACTCTAAAGTTTCCAAATTTAAAAGCCACTTGTTTGTTAAATTAATCTCTCGTTAGAGGTGTTTTCCCAAGTGGTCTTAATATAGGAAAGGTCACACTAAGATATAAGAATGGCGACAAACATATAGAGGTAATTATAGACATATTACAGTGTTATCTACATTCTCAAAAGTTTTTGAACAAATAATATATTATGCCATCTTATAACTTTTATAACAAATAACCTTTTCACCGACACGCAATTCGGTTTCAGAGAAAGCGATCAAATGAACCAGCAACGTCGTTTGTTGCTCATAAGTTGCTCAAAGCCATATAGATGATGGTATATTTTCTATTGGTGTTTTTGTTTGACCCAGTCGCTGACTAGTGTTACATGTATCAAACGAGAAAAAAATGCAGTGTTGTTGTCTCGATTCGCTGACTCGGACTCGAGTCGGACTAGAGTCGCTATTTTTTCACTTGAGACTTGACTTGACTTGAAAAAAAATATATGACTTGGGACATGACTTGACTCGAATAAATCTGACTTGCTGACACTAACACGTTTCTTAAAGTTAAAAAACCCCACAAACCTCTGGGCGTTCGTGCGCACTAGCATAGTCGGTTGAAAAGAATGCAGACACATACTAAGCGAATTTAGCAACCAGCATGCGATAGCTGGGCATCCCGAGCCTGCCACACGTCATGTACTTGACTAGCACTATGCGTGAGTTATGGACAACGTATCATACTCGACCTCGTGCATGCGAGGTGAAGTTTGTGCCGTCCGTAGTCTGAGTACCATCCGTTGTTATAGAGCGGTCATTCCACGGTTTACCGTAAGCGTGCTAAATGCAACTAGGGCTTAAATTGACTGGAAAACGGCTGCTACTCCCAATCCGCCATAAAGCAAAAAGAATTCACATCATACATTAAACGAAAACGTTCGGAAGGACATTTTGTCAGACGTCCTTCAAACACTTCAACATGATGGAACAAGTTTGAAAATATTACATCAAAATGCCTTTTTAGACTCTTTAGATAAAAATAAGGTGTTTGAGAGAGGGTGTTTAAAAGTATGATATTGTTTGTTAATCTCCTTACATGATGCACGCTTTGATAAACCCCATTCCCATCTCTCCCCGGATCCGTTGTCGAACACATAAACTGGTTTCCGTACGTAGTATGTGCAACTTTTATTAAAAAAAGTGACTGGAGACTTGACTTGAAAAAAAATGACTCGGGACTTGATTTGACTAGTAAAAAATTGAATCGAGACTTGACTTGACTTGGAAAAAAATTGACTTGAGACTTGACTTAAATTGCTTGAATTTGACTTGGGACTTGACTTGACTAGGAAAAAAATGACTTGGTTACAACCCTGGTAAATGAGGCCAAACTTAATATATTCAATGCTTACGTTCCGAAAATTATGTTTGAATTGCCTTATAGACTGCTAGAGAAATTCAATTCAATTCAATTCAAAGTAACGTATATTTCCACATAATCATAAAGAAAAGTACAATAAATATAAACAGATGTCATTGTAGATTCCCCGGACTCAATTCCCCCTTCTTATATCACCCCTCCTCTCTCACCGTTTCATGAATGGTAGATTCGCCCTTGCATAAAACAAACAGCAGTAAATGATGCCTCGTTTGTTCAAGGATCACCAGCTTTCAACTAAATGAATCGGATATCTCATTTGTTGGACAGGAAACAGGCACCAAAGACGACAAGCTTTGAGTTATATGTTCCTTTAACATCCTCACTTTAAATACAAACCATGTCTTGGTAGATCACTAATGCAGATAATTGATTAAAAGCATGGAGTTGACGAAGCACTTTCAACTGATTGATCCTTTCTGGTTTGAGTAAAACATTACTAGTTGCTGGCGTTGAACCTATTATTAACACAAGCAATCACATCTAATTGGACGTCCGCTCTTCAAAAAGAAAAGCAATTATTGGATAATGGAGTAGAATTTGGAGCACACATTTCCCATCGGCGTCTGAATGAAATGTAGGGAAACCTTAATAAATGCTGACAAAAATGTCTGGAGCCAATGCCATAACCAGGTTTTGATAGATCTCCCATGCAGATAATGTTTTTGATTTCATTAATGTGTGACGAAAATCCCCCAATTTTCTTTCGACTAACTTTATGCCTAGAATAGCCTTAAATTAACTTCCATCCACTAAGAATAGATTCCATTCACTTTCATGAATGTTATTTGACTTATTTCATCGCTAGTATTTCACCAACTGTCACAATGTCAGCTGTTTTCATGCAGTGCACATGTGTTTGTGTGTGGTATCAATAAGATTTGCTTAAATTCAATATGGCCGCCTTCTAGACCTCTCAAATCTGTTCGGATTGGTCTGAAGTTTTAAAAGATTATTTCTTGCTTTAGTCTTTAAAACTTAGGAATAAGACACTAGAAAATTGCTTTGGTTTGACTTTTATCTAGTTCAATCCTTTGAGTAACTTTTTGGAAGAGTATTTTAGAATAAGGCTTTCTTTACAGATTTCTGATGCTTTCCGTCTGTTAGTACAGGCATGCATATTTACGAGATGACGTCACTGTATTTTCTTGAATGGGATTAAGTTTGTTTACATTTAATTAATTATAACTTTATTCTTGGGTTTTCTCGATGTATTTGAGGAATTTCTGAGTTCATTCTTCTGTTTAACTGAAAGTGTAGAATTTGGAGATTATTGTGTACTTTGATTGATGCATTTTCAGTATAAATGATTGATTTCTCAGATGAATGAAGAGTTTGTTGTGCATAGTAATTTTCGCTACTTTACAACGTGTGGGCGTGGCTTATTTACTACGGTGCATGGAGAGCCCGCGCGTAAGGCGCGCAATTCAATGGTATAAATATGGCTAAAGAGGATCTGAGGAGGAGCCTTGGGGAAGCGTTTAAGTGCCCAGGATTGGGGGAAATTAGTCTGAAAACGGAGGAGGAGCTAAGGAAAAGCTAAGGACAAGCTTGAAAAATTGAGGAGGAGTTTAAAGAGCCAAGGAGGAGCTGAGAAGCTGTGACAACAGCATTGTTCGTAAAAAAAAAAAAAAGTTATTAATAATTGGATTGGAGGGGAACAGCAAGATAAATAATTGCAGTCTTTTAAACTATTTCCAGTGCTGTTGAGATATTCAAGAAACTACTGGCGATCCGTCAGAGGCCTTGGATGGAGTTTAATGATATTTATTTTAGACTGGCAGACGGAAAATTGTGGTTTACACCGTCCTCTTCCCGATCATTTTGTGCCTCGGTGTCATCACCAACTCCAGTTTTCTGTTTGTTGTGATTCGTGCTCCGCAGAGGATATCTCACACCACTCTGTACTTGGCACACCTTGCAGTAGCAGACCTCTTTGTCCTCATGTTTTGGGCATCTCAGAAAATGTGGACAGCGTTTTCATCACCTGAGATTGTTCAAGAGCCATTTCAGAATACGGCTCAGTGTCTCATTTTTCAAATTGGTGTGAACTTACCATTTGTCACAAGGTGTGATTTATATTTTTAAATAATGTTTCAATTTTTGTATTCATCATTGGGTTTGTTCAAGTCAAGGAGTAATATATAGACTTTCTTTTTTTGGGCTTTTTTTATTATAAAACCCCCACAGCTGCGAGAGTGTAGTAAGTTATTCAAAGAAAGCATGCAGAGAGTAGTGTTATGTAAATTAAATCAATGCTTGAGTGATTTTGGGTTTCAAGGCATACCCAGGTATGTGTGCTGATAGGCACTACCATCTCAGCCTGTGTGGTGTATGCGTGGGTAGTCAACCTGTGTGGTGCTGT